CTTGTGTTCCCTCTCTCGCTGTGTCTCTCTCTGTCAAATAAATAAATAAAATCTTTAAAAATAAATAAAATGAATTCTGTGTATCGGATCTCATCTTTTTCAATAAAACACATTTCATATGCTGTTCTTAAAGATAAAAACCTTTCTTGGTTTTGTTATTTATGTTTAAAGTGTATTAGTGATAAAGTACAATATGTCTATATAGTTCAACTTTAGAGCTATATCTAAAAATAGTGCTTTGTCTTATTAAATTCATTCTTCCTCTACTTGCTATCATTTTACTATTTAACGTTTAGACTGTATTAACTTTATTGGCTCTTGGATTTAAACAGTGAACAGAAATGCCTAGTTGATGGTAATTTGGATTTGGAGTCCTCTGAAAATTTGGCTGTGGTAGATAATTTTTGGAATTAAATTTAGACTGTCACTTCATTTTTTTTTCTCCCAGGCTGATATAGGGCTTCCATATCCACAGAGAGTTGTTCAGTTGCCCGAGATTGTATGGGACCAATATACCAATAGCCTTGGGAACTTTGAAAGAGAATTTAAAAATCGTAAAAGACATACTAGGAGAGTTAAGCTTGTTTTCGATAAAGGTAAGAAATTACATGATAAGAATTTAAATAGAGAAATATCTGGCAGTCTTGCTTTAATAATCCTATACATGGTCTTCTCTTTAGTAGGTTTACCTGCTAGACCAAAAAGTCCTTTAGATCCTAAGAAGGATGGAGAGTCCCTTTCATATTCTATGTTGCCTTTGAGTGATGGTCCCGAAGGCTCAAACAGTCGTCCTCAGGTAAACAGTATAAAGCTTTGGACCAGGAAAATTTGAACTATAGACAAAATATTTTAACATTTCCTGGTTTGTATTCTTAAAATTTAAGCAGTCTTTCACTGAAGATAGTGGGGACATGAACTTGATGTTAAGAGAAATCTGGGTTGGAATCCCAGCTCTACCACTTACTAGCTGTGGAATGTCAGATGTCATTTATATTAAAGCCTCCAAGCTGCAGTTTCCTTTTATATGAAATGTGATTAATATTATCTGTGTTGTAGAGTTGTATGAAGATTAAGCGAGTAGTACATGTAACATGGCCCTTACAGTGTGTGACATGTACTCTTTATTCTAAAAATAAGAGGTCTGTGCAGTGTAATTTAACCAGGATTTGAGTCCTGGCCTTGCCACTAGTAGTTAGATGAACCTTAATAGACATGTGGGTTCAGAATGGAAAAGTAACATTTCCTTTTCTTTAAGATGAAGTTGCTGTCATCCATGTTACAGGATTGCTAGGAGTATAAAAACTAAAGGAGTGTGAAAACATTTTGTGAATAATAAAAAAAGTACACATTAAATAAATAATTTACTGAAATATTTTGAAATTAACAAAAAATTCCACAATATGGGGGCACCTGGGTGGCTTATTGGTTAAGCATCTGCCTTCAACTCAGATCATGATCCCATGGTCCTGGGATTGAGCCCCACATTGGGCTCCCTGCTCAGTAGGGAGCCTGCTTCTCCCTCTCCCTCTGCTGCTCCCCCTGGTTGTGCCTTCTCTCTCTCTCTCAAATAAATAAACAGAATCTTAAAAAAAAAAAATTCCCACAATATATGTTTTATTTCGCTACGTCAAATGGTAGTCTTTATTATTTTTGACAGAGGCCCTATTTTATATGCAGATGATAAGAGGACGCCTTTGTGATGATACCAAACCTGAAACATTTAACCAACTGTGGACTGTTGAAGAACAGGTAATATTTCTAAATTGTGTATGTTAAAGAAAAAAGATTCAGATTAGAGTCAGTATTATGACTAAGTGTATATTGTTGTAGATGATTCCTCTTAACTAAGAACTGAAAATATTAAACTTATTTTTGTATGGTTTTTTTGCACACTTCAGGAATTTTGGATTTTGAGAATATATGAATTCCAGTTTGGGGATGGTTTTTAAAGAAGGAATCTGGGTTATAGGAAGGGGATTGAAAAAGATAGTGAAATGGGTGGAATAAAGTGTTTGTAATACAGCTTTGGAAGAGAAAAACCTGGGGCCAAGTAAAGCAGTGCCTCAGAATGAGTTCTTGTTTTTGTTATGGAGGGGAGCTGACAAAGCCATGCCAGAGTATTCTGTTAACGGTTTGGCATATGGCTAGGATTATTCATGGGTAGGGTTCGAGACACATCTCTGTTTCATATGAGGATTAACCCCAGAGCTATAATGAGTTCAGTGTTTATGAAAAGCTTTAGGAAATTCATTTCAAGCATCCAGATTATTCTGCATCTTTAGAACTGTGGGACAATTTAGGGGATAGGTAAGAATTTAAAAATCAAGTATTTGAATGGAAGACCACACAAAGGAAGGAAAAGTCTCTTAAATATTGTCTAAATCCGAATGAATTTAGATGTTTTTGTCAAATCTATAGGAGCAAGCCCATACATAGTCTAGCAAGAAAAGATGGTCAGTGGAAATTACTAAGATGTGTAAAGTATTATTAATTAAAATTTTTTTGGGGGGGGTGCTGTGTTTTTACTTAAGCAAATAGAAAGTCTTACAAGGTTTTCCATAGGTTTATTCTCTAATCTCATTTTTCCTGTGAAGTCTTAAGTTCCTTACTAGAAATTTTTCCTACAATGAGGATTTCTAGTGACCTAACCCCCAAAGTTGGGGAGGGAGATAATTTAAAAAGAAGTGTGAATGTATTTATTCATTTATGTAAATGTATTTATTTATGAAACTCAGGATTAAACTTTCTTAAATTTGGTGTTCGGTTTGTCTTAGAAAAAGCTTGAACAGCTACTCTTGAAATACCCTCCTGAAGAAGTAGAATCTCGACGCTGGCAGAAGATAGCAGATGAACTGGGCAATAGGACAGCCAAACAGGTCATAGAGGAGATGGCCCCATATTGTTGGCATGTTTTTGATAGTTTTTTAATGAAGGATAATGCCACTAACATCAAATCTGCTACATCATTTTTAGTTACATAGTGCTATAATATGTGGTTTTTTGTTTTGTTTTTTTTAACATTGTATATTTTCTGTTGATTTCTGAAACAACTTGAGATAATTCTGCTTTAATCATTACTGAAAAATAAGAATGTAATGTACTTGGTGTCTGTTGAATGTTTAGTGAGTGCACCAGGTTGTGTACTTTTTGGTTAGACTGTGCTAATAGATTTGTGACATACTTAGGAAGTATTCTCTGGTTGTCTTTAAAAAAAAAAAAATCTAGCAGTTTTCTTCTTCATGTTACCATTGAGATTAATAGATGTGTTTTTAATAGTATAAGCATGAGCATTCATTAGTTGAAAATATGTATTTAGCTTTGGAGTCAAACAC